GCAGCCGCAGCAGCAGCAGCAGCAGCAGCAGCGGCCGCAGCTGCAGCAACAAGTCGGGTAAGTGGCGCTGCGGGGCCCGGGCCCGGGGGCGCGGCCGAGGGCGCGGGCCGGGGCTGGAAAGGAGGTCCCGTCCCCGCGTGGTGGCGGGGAGTTGGGCTTCTGGAGCCCACCTGCGGGAACTCCTGTGCAAACGTATCCACTTCGGCACCGGGGGGCTGCAGCCTCCGAGGCGGGGGCGGGGAGAGCCAGGGCCCCGGAGGCAGGGTCCTTGCCTGCCCTGCTCGGGCAGAGGAATTTGGGGCTTTTCTGCTAACCCTGTGCACTGGGGTTTGCGCTGGGCCCTTGACAGCATGCATATTCCCGGAGTGCATGATTATTCCTCCCCCCTGCCGAATGCCACCCCTTTCCCATTGCCCCCCAGAATCCTAACTTCCCCTTCCTTTACCTCTCGCCTGCATTTTTGGGCAGGGTGTGCACCCTATCCCAGAAAACCGGTCGTTAAACAGCCTGTGTAGCACAGGAAGAGGTTCCCCTCTCTGGGGGCCGGGGGCTTATTAACCTGGAAGCTTTGCCTAGCTGGCTGGGGATCATTTGCACCTCTGCTTTTGAAGAGGTTGAGGGCCCAGTAACAACACTTTTCAGCCTAGACCCTTATCTAAGCTCCCTCTTTTGGGGGCCCAGTGCTTCCTATGTTTAAGTAGAAATCATTCCTGGAGGAAATAGATATTGTGTTGCTTGCAGAATTGGGTTGTTAGCAGTCATCTGTTGCTAGGGCTAAGATAAGAAATTCCTGCGAGAGACTGAGAACTTCCTGTTATTAAAAGAGTTATGCTGATGCCTACCTGGTTCAAACACTGGCCATCTCTGGAGGTTGTCTTTAATGTCTAGAGGTTGATCCTTAAAATAGGATCAGAGACAAGACAGATCCCATCCAGAACACCCTATTTTAATAAAGTCTTGGCCATGGCCCCACTTAGATCAAAAAATATTTGACACATTGGGTTCCCAAATCTTAGTAACTCGATTATGGAGATGGAGGGCCATTGTTCTTACGATTTCTGTCATCACAGCAATGATTAAAGGACAAAATTAAGGGCAACAATCTCAGGTTGAAAAATTTTCGCCGATTGTGTGCTCAGGACCTAGTTTGAGTGATATCTTTTCTGTTCTTGAGGGACCTGTTTTGATAATTCCTGCTGAGTTTTCCTCATTTTTTGTATCCATGTTTATCATGTTGTTAGTAAAATAGGGCACGGTTTTGCAGTTTGTGTACTAAATTCAGGAGGACAGGAAACTCGAATCTACTTCTGGGTCTGCCATTTTTATCTGACCTTGAATTACTTACTTTACCTCCTTGCTCCAGTTTTCTCATCTGCAAAAAGGGAATGTTACCCACCCTCTTTGTCCTAGCCAGGGGTTGGCAAACTTCTTCTGTAAAGTCCAAGTAATATGCATTTTTGGCTTTGCAGGTCATAGAGTCAGGTTAGTGCCAAAGTGGCAGTAGACATTAGGGAAATGAGCGGATGTGGCTGGATTTGAACCAAGGATTGTGGATTTTAATTTTATAAGATATATGCAAAGGTCATTTGAAACCAAAGAACTTCTGGCCTCATGGAGATGGCCAATGTTTGAACCAGGTAGGCATCAGCATAACTCTTAATAACAGGAAGTTCTTAGTCTCTCGCAGGAATTTCTTATCTTAGCCCTAGCATCATGGAGAGGAGCAACAATAGTCATTATAGTAGCATTTTTTAAACAGACATGTAAACAACCTGTTTCATTTCCCCCTGCCCAGGACTTTTAGAGTAATGCAACAGAAGGCTTTTGAAGAAAGCAGATACCCCTGGCAGGAGTCCTTCGAGAATGTTGCTGTGTGCCTGCCCTTCCGCTGCCCGAGGTGCGGAGACCATACCAGGTTTAGAAGCCTGTCGTCGTTGAAGGCCCATCTGGAATTCAGTCACAGCTACCAGGAAAGAACGCTCTTGACAAAATGCAGCCTCTTACCATCCCTCAAAGACGCAGACCTACTCACTTCCTCGGAATCCCTGAAACTGGGAAAACTGCAGAGCTGTGGCAACGTGGTGAAGCAGAAACCCAGCTATGTTAACTTGTATAGCATTTCCCACGAACACTCCAAGGACAGGAAGCCATTCGAGGTGGTGGCGGAGAGACCCGTGTCCTACGTGCAGACCTACACTGCCGTGGACCTGTGCGCCGACTCGCTGGATGGGCCCCGGTCCAGTCCCGGACTTCCCACCTCGGATACCAAAGCTGCTTTCGAGGCCCATGTCAGAGAAAAATTCAATCGGATGGTTGAGGCCGTGGACAGGACCATCGAGAAGAGAATCGATAAACTCACCAAAGAGTTGGCCCAGAAAACTGCAGAACTGTTGGAAGTCCGGGCAGCTTTTGTCCAGCTGACTCAGAAAAAGCAAGAAGTTCAGAGACGAGAGCGGGCCCTGAACAGGCAGGTGGACGTGGCCGTGGAGATGATCGCGGGGCTGAGACAGCGCCTGACAGAATCAGAGGAGGAGCTTCTCAGGAAAGAAGAGTAAGTGACACTGGGACAGTGTTAAGCAAGGTTTGGTTTTTATTACTTGCAGGTGGTACCTTGGCTGCATTTCTTACTGATGTAGTTGAATGTGGGAGGCACAAGGCTTTTAATATTATTTACCCTCTCTGTGTATGGTCTGCAGCCCAGTAACCTATAAGTCAAAATACCTAATTTCTTCTTACCTTGGAAACTGTAAAATACAGATAAAGTTTTTAAACAGAAGAGTGGTGCCTTGTTTCTGTAGTGGGTGCCATTCCCAGCACCCACTGCTGAGCAGGGGAGTTGAATGGGAGGGCAGAAAGGACAGGCCGGGGAGTCTTCCTTCTTGACAGTTTCCATGTAATAAAGTCAAGAACATGAAATGCTGTCTTATTCAAGTATAAAGAATGCCCTAAATACAAATAATTTTGGCTGCTTTGCCATTTTGGATTATCCGCCCGCTGTAATTAAATGTTGATTGCTGAGAATCCATTCAATTACAATTTTTATTTGGAAGAAGCAGACATTAGGAAACCCAGAGGAAACTTTGTGATATTGCTCTGCTTCTGTGATTTAAGTATGAGAATTTTCTTTTTGTAAAATGTTATATCCTACTAGAGTGAGTCATGCCTGCTTGCAAAGAGTTGATACTGGTTTTCACAAGTTATAGGTGATCAAATAAGCTAATACTTTAAAGGTCATCATATTTGGGAAAGCATTTTCTTATCAGTAATTATGGATTCAATCCAAACTAAAAACATATATATGTATCTATGCAGTGTATTTCCCAAAAGCAGAATGTTGGATTTAGTTTTAAATGGAGGCTCAGAATTCATTGAATGAAAGGACATAAAAATGGATAAACTAAAACATCCTAGAAGGAAAGTTTCCAAATAATTTGAGTTCCATTATAGAGATTGACTTAATTTCATACTTTCTCTGCCCTGTGGCACTCTTCTTTATATGTTGTCTCTTAAAATGTAGTGATTAAAACTTCCTCCATTTGGTAAGAGGCTGAGAAACCCTGTATATTAAAGAGATCATCATTCACTATCACTGAATGCTTGCATGCTACTTAGAGGGAAAGCCTGCTTTGCTCAACTAGACACTTTCCAAATATGTAGTGAGGGCAGAATTGAATCAGCCACTGATTTGATCTTAAGGAAATGATAGCTAATGAAAAATTCTTTTCTCTTGGTTTCCAGTGTTTCCTGGTGGGAAGTTAGTGCCTTAACCTGTTATGGCCACCAGGGTGACTAACATTGCACCACTGGAAAAATGTCAGATACGGGGTTCCCCTGTGTGCAAAGAAAAGCTTAGAATTAAATTTTATGGTATTTCAGTTTCATTCAAGAGCAGTGAATTTAAAAAGTAAGCAAATTAATTGTTTGCATTTATTTATTTGTTGTATTTTTAAATTAAATCTCTAAGGAATAATGGATGTGGGATTTGGGATGTTGATTGCGTAGAGTATAGGAAGACAATATGATGACCGGGAGGGTCATAGGGTTAGATCTAGGTTATGGTAGAGGATCTAACTTTTATTTGGGGTGGTGGATTCAAGGATGCTTTATTATTAAAAAAGAACTGGTTAACTAACTTGAGTAAAAGTGGGCCATGCCTGCATCAATGATGATAATGTGTTATGGTTAATCCAGGGCTGTCACCTGAGGACCAATTGAAAAACTAATACATACTTGTAAAAAATTAACATGGGAGAACTGTATGTGTTAAAAGTCCTCCGTCCTCTCTAAGCATACCCCATCCTCTGGAGATAGCCACTGTTTAGTTCAGTGAATGTCCTTCTATACCTTTCTTGTGTACGTATAAATCATATGTACTTTATTCACACAGAGTTACTATGTTTTTCCAAATGGAATCATGACACACATTATTCTGCCACTTGTGTGTGGAGTTTGTTTTGTTTAACTAGTGTATTGTAGGAATCTTTCATGCACTAAACAGAATTATGTTATTCCTCTTGGGTACTAGGTGGTATTCCATGGTGTGGATGCATCATGGCTGATTTCATCAGATTGCTATTGATGAATGCGTGGTGGTTTTTTTTCCATTTTCCTAGTATTAAAAATAGTGCCTCTGTTAACAACTTTGTACATATGTCTTTGTTCATGTTTTTATGAGTTTATCTGAGAGTAAATTATGAATTGATTTTTAGTATGGCATATATTGGACTACCAGAAAAAAAAAAGTAATGTGATTTTATAAAACCCACTTTAAATGAAAATATAGTGAAACTGCCTTCAACTTTTAAACATAAACTAAACAAAGTCTTCATTTTTTAAGCCTTCATTTGGCGTCTTCCATCAGTTTCTGTATTCAAGCTTCAAATAATAATTCTTTCTGTACATGAACTAGGACTGAAAGAGTCTTGTTTCCAGAAAGGACAGTGGAGCTCTTGGTTTGAGAGGGCAACTGTGCTCTTGTTCTCACTGTTTACAGTGTCCAGCCTCCCTTCCACCTCCACCCTCAACCCCCTGACGTGGGCGAGCCAGCTGCCCATCTGCCATCCATTGAAACCGGGTTGATTTAACTAGATCTGCCTGGCTGGGCCATGCCCCTTCCCTCTTTACTTCCTCCCAGAGCTGAGCCTTCCACCAAAGAGGTCACCTTTCCGATATGGGAAGCTGCTGTTTGCCAAGGAACCTACCAGGAGCTTTGCTCCCCTGAGAAACTCCTTCAAATGAGCTCTCATGGCCCATTTGTGAGAGAAAGTAGGTTGTGATAGTACCATTCGAAATTGACTTAAACTCTGGGAACCCTTTGAGACACAAATGGTAGATTTGGTTTTAAAAAAAGGAAACATCAGTATTTAATATTCACACAAGTTTCTCTTGCCTATGGATTTTTTTCTTCAACTTTAAAATTCTTTCTTTCAAACTGAAATAAAAGACTCTGAGAGCTAATTCCGCCCCAGGGCCATCTATGGACTGAATCACCTCGATAGTAGAAGTCATATATATATGCTTTGTAACAGAGGGGATTATTTGAATTGGCACTATGTTGTACCTCTATGCCAATGAGTCTCATTGTACCTTTGTAGAGAGGTATCTCTGTTTCTGAAGAGCAAATCCAAAAGAAATTTCTCATTGCCTTCACAAAGTCTGTGCAATTTTAAAAGTCCTGGAAACAGGTATTTACTTATTCAAGAGGATTCAGGGCTGTAGGGTAGCGCTGCCTGTAATCAGGTAAATCAATCCTGACCAACCTTGCAGTAAGGTATCCCTTAACAAGAAAGGATGGCTTGGGTAGTGGCTGATTCCTGGCCCAGTTGGTCACCTGGGGTTTGGAGAACATTGCTGTAATAACAGAAATCCTAAATTGTCTTGCGCACTCCTGCTGATAAGGTTGGAAAGTCCTCCTGAGCACCTGTGATGTGCCTCGCACTGTGCTAGGTGTGGGGGGGAACATGAACTTCTTGGTATTTTTCCCTAAGGAACGTACACTCTACATAGGAAGAAGCAATATATCCATGAACACGCCCGTGTTCAAACCCAGGGCGTTGAACAAGTGCTCAATACAAGCCATGGTTTCAAGGTGATAAAAAGTTAGAGAACAGATTTTTCTATTTAAGAGGACACACCGAAGGAGTGAGAACAAAGGGCAGAATTTGCATTGGTAGCCAGAGGCTGGTGACATTGAAGGACAGCAGGGAGGTTAGAGATGACCCCTGAGGGGACTGTGTAATTTTAGTACTGGAAGGTACCCCTGTGTCCTTCAGGATAACACCTTCATTTTACAGACTTGGAAAGTAAGGCCCAGAGCAGTGGAATGACTCATCCAAGGACAAAAATTTAGTATCGAACCTGAAATTGGAACCCAAACTCCCTGTCTCTCTGATGAGTGCTTTTTCTATTAATTCACTATGTCCTAGCCAGACTTTTGAAACTGCGGCATTTGCCCAAAGCATCAAGACTTAAGTAATACTGACTCCGGCCCGTTTTGGAATGGGCCTGCTTCTTTGCTATTTTGAGAGGGCTGTGAGGATGACATCATTTATTTTTCTGATGTGATTAAAGCAAATGTCAGCTGGCATCACAGGTGTTGGGAAATGGGGAAACGGTGGCGTCATTAGGTATGGTTATGATATTAAGCTTCCGGAACACCAGCCCAGGGCTTTTAACTTCCAACAAGGGCTTTTAACTTGATGCTCTTCGTGTCCCTGCCCTGTCAGGGTGGAGCACATGCCACCAGCCTTTGATTTCCATGAGGGGCGTCTTTGTAATTCCATCTCTAATTTCCATCCTGCTCCCTTGCGAGATATAATCTTTTCCCTTCTTCCTTCATCATTTGCCTTGTTCCCCAGACTGGAGTCAGCAGAAAACAAATTTTTATGGAGTGCATGCTGAGTGCCAGGTACTGTTCTGGGACCTGGTCAAACAAGTGGTAAAGCAAATGAGTCCAGATCCTGCTTTCATGGTGGGGATAGACCAGAAGGTAAAGCAGACATTCACCAGGCCATCAGGGATATGATAAGAGACACATCTAGGGGTGGCCTGACCAAGGTAATGTCCATTTGGGTTTCTGTCTGAAGCTGGCTGTGGAGCACTGGCCTTTAAAAGGCAACTTTGACTTGGTAACTTGCTTTGCACAACTAAACCCTCTTGCCACTTAATTATGTCTTTCCCATTTTTGATGAGCCAAAGCAGTGAGTAAGCAACTTGGTCTCCAGACCGACCCAGAGCTAGGAAGCAGGCCAAGAAAAATCATGTCAGATGTAGAATTCAGCGGGACAGGAAGGGGTCGGTTTGCTCCACATTTTAATGCATTTATATAAATGGGGGGTCCACTCTTTCCAGGCTATGTGCCATAAACTATTGTAGGAAAAACCGATGTCAGACATGCCCTCTGAGGGATGTCACATGGAAAGATTTGGAGACCCAGTAAAATTTTCTATTTTTCTGCCTCTCTCTCTCTCTCTCTCTGTCTGTCTGTCTCTATTTCTCTCTATCTCTCTCCCCCTCTCCCCCTCCCTCTGACGCCAGTCAGTAGCTTTACTC